TTAACGCGCTTTGCGTGACATATCAACGACTTATTGAATTGATTCTTACCCTCCGGGACACATGAGACACATGTCGACGAGGAACGTGTCGAGACCAGTATCAGAGATAGCAGATGTAAGAACTTTGAGAAGCTTGTGAGCCTTATCAACGTTGATGGGAGCAACCTGGTCCCAGAATTTAGGGGAATCCAGACCAGCACCGGACGTAAGTTTCTGTAGATCATCCTCGACCGATTCAGATAGTGCATTTAAACTGTGACTTACAAACTGAGAGACAAGACTGGAATGTGATAAAGGGGCCCTCTTAACTGCCGATTCGGCTTTAGGGCCCGAATCTAGTTTTCTGACTCCGAAGAGTTTTCTCTTCGAGTCTTTCTTCGACTCTTTATTCTCGTCGTTACCGGAGACTTGACCAGTATCCGCCAAACCACCAAACTAAGCAGAAATGTACGTAGATGGGTCTAAATCCTTCTCCAGAACGTCAGCAATCGAGTGACCTTGCTGGCAGTATCCTATTAAGGAACCACGGTATTTATGGTCATAGATCGCAGCTGCTTGAACAATTCGTTTCTCAGCGAGCTGAATGACCTTCAATAAGTATTTGAGCATGGCAAGAGAGTCTACCCCCGACTTTTTGCCACACACCATAAAGATTCCGGTACACCAGCGAATGTAACATTCAACCCACTGAGCATGCGACGTTATTTTACGAGATTGACCTGTGCGCACGGAGACGGCTTTTCCAGTATTAACATCTTCAGCCTGCTGAATACCTCGTTTTTCAGTTGATGCAGCGCTGGCTACGAACTCGGAGGCCGCAATGTGATAAAAGGGAGAGCTCGATAGACGGTTGAGCAAGCGGTAGGGGGCACCAACGTGGCAGGAACCTTCACATCTGGACCAAATCGATGTTCGAATGTTCTTCTTGAATTTGTCGAAATCCTCCTTTTCTTGCTCCGGGACCGATTAGAAAAGCTGGCTGAGACTGTAAACTAAAGTTGTCTCGCCCACCTTGAACAGTCTTGCCATGTACATGAGGCCGTCTGCGGGAGACATTTTCCCGAGCATTCGCGCAGATAGGCAAAATCGAGTGATACAAGCGCCCACGTGAGCAGCTTCGCATTGATAGAGAGCTCGTGGGAGACTCACTTCGTCCTGATTGACGGACTTGCCAAGGGGATCGATGACGAGTTTCTTCTTCTTGGACAGTGGTCCGGGCTCGTCACACTCCGCCAAACGTAGCAATTCATTCTCCTTGATTTTGCTCAGCACTTGGCCGTCGACGGTATTGATCGGGTATAGCCATACCGTACTTTGCCTGCAGCTTGGACACAGAATCTGGGCCAAAATTCTGCATTCCCAGATTCTCTCGGCTCAGGTATCCTCCACCTTTCTCTTTGGAGAGTAAAGCGCGCCGCAGTTGCACCCGACGGCCTTCAGGAAAATCAAGTTGGTTCTGTCGGACAACGGATGAGCAAGCTCGTCACATTCTTTACTCTCTCTGGTGTCGTCGAGGACGCCGAGTATGCTTGTCATGATGAGTTCCTTGGAGACCAAGGGGGAGGCAACGTCAGCTTGAGCCCTAGATGGGAGGTTGTCGCAGATGTACTCGGACTCGTTATCAGGAAGCTTTTGTGAGATGCTGTCCAGAGTAAGCGGATCAGCATCGGCCTTGTCAATGCTTGAAGTCACCTCCCTCGGAGCTTCTTCATCATCTGACTGGTTGTCGGGGTTGCCGTGCTCATGGGGTTGCACGATCTTTTTAGTTCGGGTTTCGACTTGACGCTGAGGCTGACTTGGCTTTCTCGACTGGAGGAGAACATACGGAGGTTCCGGTGTCCATACGCTTAGAGGCAGGCGTGGGAGCCTTGTCGAATCGTCGGGAGGCTTTCTGCTTATCAGCTGCCCATCTGTTCGTCGAGTCAATCGTGATGTTTATTTGTCCTCTTAGCCTCCGCATCATGTCATATTCCTGGACGGTCTTGAGCTGGGTCCAGGGTGGATCTAGATTGACTTGCCGGTCGGTCGAGCGGGTTGCCTTGGCGCGCCTTTGCGATGCTGTCTGTGAGTTACGGGACGCGTGGAGACGACGGTATGGTGTTTACTCTCAACTAAGTCATGTGGCCGCTGACCAGAATGAGGAGGCCGAGGCTCTGAGGCGATTGGGTGTCCGCTGGCGAATCATAAAAGAAATCCTGCTTGACGGTCGGGAGGCTGTAGTCGACGACTGTGAGTCTGATGATCATGGCAAGATCTGATCAGGTTGATACGCGGGTTGCAATAATATTGGATGCTGATGTCGGGAGCCCCCAGCAGAAGTGAGTGTTGCTCCTGGTAAGCCCGCCCGGAAGAAACTACTCAAAATGCAGTGGCAATCCCCGTCAGCTCGACTTATCCTACAGTGTTCTAACCCTCCTGGTGAGACTGGGGGTACCCTACTTTATGTCCATGGTCCTGCTCCCCGGCCTTGGCTCGGGAGCTTGCCGACTTCTTTGTTGCGGATGATGGTGTATGGCTGAAGCGCGTAACCACTGCCCGCCTGAACGGCATTCAGGCTCACCGGCTTTGCTACTTCATTCTGGCGGGTACGTCCGAAAGGAAGGGCTTCGCGGAGCACGTAGTCTCCCAGTATCATGATAAAGCTGGATGTCTTAATGCTCGATATCTAAGATGGCTGATTACTCGTACTTGCTATCACCCTAATGCACGACACCTGGTCAACGACCTGAGCAAGAGTTGCAACAAATGCCAACGGGCGCTTAGTCGACCTTACTATTCCACTACTGACGGCGGTCGTTCTTCAAATGAAGGAGCTCGATCAGTATGGCAGACAATTAGCATTGATTTGGCAGAGATGGGGCCAGATAGGTATTCTCGTTATCATTCCGCTATATTTCTAATTGATCATTTCAGTAGATATGTGTGGAAACTCCACGATTCGAAACCGATTCGATTCGAAACTCCACGACGTCCGCTGTCGTCGGAGCCCTATCTATATGCTTTGATTGGTGGAAGAACCCATCTCTATTGCAGAGTGATGAGCTCTTCCCATCTCGTTGAGGGACAACATTATGTTTGACGGTTGTTCCCTTGTGTGCTGAATAATCTGATCCTTGTTGTTGTTATTCATCTTATTCTTTATTTACATCAATCTGGCGTTGCATGTAATCCCGTGACTTGACGTGCACGGTAGCGCACGCCTAGCAGAGACTGTCTCGTTGAATAAGGCGAGACACGAGACTGCTTTTTTTACATTGGAAGAAGTCTTCCACTAAGCTTTTGCTCTTCTTGTCTAAGAGCTACTTTACCAATCTCCGTTCCCGAGTTACCCAAGTCGTCACATTTTTTACCGGGATATGACTACGCCTAGTTCAACCCTATTACTAAGGTATTTCAAGCTCAGAGATAGAGATCGGTACGTCCCTGGAGAAGTTCTAGCCACCAATGAGACGAAGACGGTTATCTTTGTTGTCGTCGAAGCACAGCTCGCAACAGTTGCAGGTAGCTTGCTCGGAGACAACCCCGTATTCTTCACTCTGGCTGGTTCCCCCTATCTTGGTAACTGGGTCTCAAATAAATATCGCAATACTTGGAGGACTACGCTGGACAACGTCCCTATTGGTAAGGGAGTTCCGTCTCGTAATAGGCCATTGACTCCTACTGATGTGCCTGTCGACTTGCAGCTGCCCTCGATCCCCAAAAAGGCCGACAGCGATGAAGGCGACACCACTTTCATGTCCTTTTCATCTGGCGCTGAAGAAACAACGCCAATTACAAGTATCGAGAAAGACCACTGGAAAGGGTATGAAATACGTATGCCTTCACCCAGCATCCTATATGAAGAACCGCGATTCGTAAATCTTCCTAACGTAGAAGTTAACAGCAAGACTCTCCATCATGCTAGGCAATCGGCAAACTCTGTGGCGATTCCCAACGGCAAGGTCTACTCTGGCATAGAAGATCATAGGTCAGTATGTGATATTCTCCGTGCTGCTAATGAAACATCAGCCTACAACTCGTGGACCCCCATCGAACTATACTTCTTCATAATGAGAATCGTCTCAGAAAGCGTGCGTAGGCAGTTAAAGCCACAGCCTCAATCCAGTATGGATGGTTACGCTGAAGAGGTTCGTCGGTTATGCTCTGGTCTTCATGGTCTATATTCTTCAGAGACGGAGGTTGTTCAAGCGCTATACCGCTGGAACTCTCTAGTGATGAACGAAAAGCAATCCCTGCCCGAGTATCTCAAGACATTCGAGGAACATAGACTTCAAGTGGAAAGACTCCAGGGAAGCACTATGGATGATCGCATCCTCAAGCACAAGCTCCTTATGACATTGACGGCTGTTCATCGCGAGACGGGGCTGACGAAGATGGGTTCCCTATCGTATCATGAGCTTATGCACGAGCTGGTACAACTAGATAGAGTTCGTCAGCTTGCGGGCCAACACCGAAAACACACTGTTTCGTCTAATGTTAAGAACGTCAACACCGTGGAGGCTCCTCGCACAAGTCAAGAAAGGAGACAGCAGCAACCTACTGGTCGGATACCTAAGAGAGCGAAGAGGTGGTCATGTGTTCGGTGTCTTGACACGGTTGCACCTCAAGGGCATGACCATCGAACCTGCCCGAGTGAGCATCCTATTGATAAGGAAGGCCGCTGTCATCATTGTAATCGCACAAAGGGTTCAGGCAGAAATTGCTGCCAAGACCCCAATCTATGCACTGCGAGTAATAATCGAAGGTGCCCTCGGTGTCATAAAGAGAATGCACATCATCCCTTTCACTGTCCTGGTCCGCTGCCGACTACTGCTGCTACGACGAACCCTCTGCAGACAATGACTACCTCAACATCCGGGACATCTATGCTCACATTCGAGACGGTCACCATAGGAAATACCAGTACTGCGTTTGAGAAATCACCACTCAGGCACACTACCCTCAAGATCATCGGGAAGAATAAGAAAATATCGATCTGTGGTCTGATAGATACAGGTGCAGAGACAAATGCTATTAGCGAGGTCGCCATGGAGAGACTCATCCGAGAAGGGGCCGAAGTCAAGAAGCTCGATGAAAAATGTACCGCTATTATGGCCGATGGCAACCCTATAAACGATTGTCCGGTCTATCGACTCCGCATTGCACAAGCTGGAGAGTCTGTTGAAGCATCGGTTGTTGTCATCAAGGGACTAACACGTGATCTGCTCGTCAGTGGTGTCTCTTTCGAGCATTTCTGCTCATACAGTATGGTTGTTCGCCGGTGGAGGAGACCGGCTCTTCAATGTTGGCAGTATGTCTCCAAAACTGAGGAAGCTATGGGATAAGTTCTATGAGGAATTCTGTTGTCCGTCCATCACTAGCAATAACACTACCGTAGAGGTCGTAGATAACAACGAGTCCACAGAGAATGTGGTGAAAGCCCCATATATCTATGGGATAACACTTCAAAACGAGAATGAGCTCAAGAAAATTGGAGGAGATGGTCTTACTGATTGTGGTGTATTAGAGGACGGCGATGACGTAATGGATTCTCCAACAAACGGAGAACGGCTAGGGCAAGACCGTACTGCTGAGAGCACCCCGCAAACTATTCAGAGATATACACATAAGATCAAGTGGCTAGGCCTTAGACCAGTGAATGATATAGAATTGCACCGACATCTTGCTAATGGTCTAGAAGCAAGATTGAAGAAGGCTGGTACGTTCGAGCTCTATGATGCCGAGATAAAGAAGTTTGAAAGTCTCGGGTTCATAAAACCCATAGATCCGAGTCGTGCCTGCTTCTGCTTGAGACACTTTCCAGTGACTCGCAAGCATGGCAACGAGCTCAGTAGCATGCGAGTACGTCCCGTCTTCGACGGGAGCATGCTGCGAGGTAAGATCTGCCCGAACATTGACGACTCGGACAAGCAACATGTTACGAGTTGTATATATCTCCTGAGAAGATTCCACCATTTCGTCTCCTGTGATTTCAAGGCCGCATTTCTACAGATAGAATATGGCGATGAATTAGATAAGAGGCATTTGTGTTTCTGGTGGCGAAATATCCTCTACTCATATCAACGAGTTTTATTCGGATTACCCGATAGCCCTGGTGCTCTAATACACGCCTTGGCTGACAACATCGAGACCAGTAAATCAGCTCTAAATAAATGCCTCGATATCGACCCCAAGGGTGCCTATGGTATACGCATTCTCATGGATGATCTATCGATCGCAGCACAGACGGAAGGTCTGGTACATGAAGTATTGAAGGAGGTCCTAACAACGGCTGCGAGTCGAGGATTCGAAGAGAATGAGGCCAAAAAGGATATCGTCTGCTCTG